AATTTGTGAAAAACTCTTTTTATATCAATTATTAAATATTTTTGATATATAAATAAATAAATAAATACTGAAACTCTTTGGCAAAGTTTCTATATTTTACTTTCGATTTCTAGAATTCTCAATTTCTGTACCACTTCCTCCTTTTTCCATCCCTCTTTTTATAGGCTTCTTTTTTTTTTGGGATGATAACATGTTTTCTCTTCTGATAATGACATAATCATAACTGGGCTGGGCCTGTTATATTGTGATAATTATCCATAAAAAATAAGTATTCTTTTTATATGAATTAATAAATATTTTATTGTGATTGATTTTATTAGGTAATTTCTAGAGTTTTATAGAAACTATTTTTATAAAAACTATTTTTATATCAATTAATAAATTTATTTTTATATAAATAAATAAATACTGAAATACTAAAACTCTATATTGTGTTAGGGTTCTATCGAAACTTTTTAAATACTTTTTTTATATCAATTAATAAATAATTTTTTATATTAATAATACTTGTCTAATTAGATTTCCTTTTATTAAAAAACTCATAATAAATAGATAATTTATGTTAGAATTTTATAGAAACTTTTTAAATATATCTTTGTCTAGTGTGTGTTAGAATTTTATTGAAAATAAAATTGATAATTTGTAATAGAGTTTTATATAAATTATTTTATTTTCTTTAAATATATTTTGCATATTATATTTAATTTTATTAAGATACTCATAATAAAAGATAATTTGTGGTAGAGTTTTAGAAAAATTATTTTATTTTTATATCAATTAATAAAAAAATTTATATTAATAATTCTTATCTAATTAGATTTTCTTTTATTAAAAAATTTATAATAAAAGCTAATTTGTGAAAAACTCTCTTTATATCAATTAATAAATATTTTTTTATATAAATAAATAAATACTGAAACTGGAATTCTGGATTTATAGAATTCTCAATTTCTATATTCCTTCCTCCTTCTGATAATGACATAATCATAACTGGGCCGGACCGATTATATTGTAATAATTATCAATAAAAAATAACTATTCTATTTATATCAATTAATAAATATTTTATTGTGTTTGATTTTATTAGGTAAATTTTAGAATTTTATAGAAACTATTTTTATATCAATTAATAAATATTTTTCTATATAAATAAATAAACACTGAAACTCTTTGCACACTTAATACTACACTTAATCTTAGCCAAAAGGGCGAGAAAGGTTAACCAAAAGGCCAACCTAAAAAAAAATTTAGTACTACTCTTGATCTTAGCCAAAAGACTGAAAATTGTTAGCCAAAAGGACGAGAAATGTGTGATTAATATTTATTTAGGTCTATAGTTTTATAAGAGTCTCATATGTAATCATTTATAACTCAAAACCAATGTGGGACAATGTTGTGTCAGTTTATTTACCACTTGCAATAGTATGAATCTTTGTAAGACAGGATTATATAGAGGGTGTTGATCCCACAGGGCTCATCTTGCTCCTGCTTTGGTTTTTGTTTTTTTGTTTATTGTGTGTGGGTTTTGGAAATGTTTGTTGAGTTTTGTTGTTTTGGTGGTGATTTAGATAGGCGGTTAGTTTTGTCATAGATAAAGTTGAGGGTGATTCCTCTTGTTCTCTATTGTAGTTTCTTGAGTTAATAAAGGAATCCAAAAAAAAAGTGTTAGAAAACATGTCCAGCAATTAATGGTGGGAGCATGCTGCACCTTATGTAGAACTGTACAGCTCATTAGTTCTACCCCAACTTTAAAACAAATAATGACTGTTATATGTTTTCAAATGTTCTCCTTCAACCAGTGCTCCAGAGTATGAATGAGGATTTGAGTACTAAGGCCCTGTTTGGATTGGCTTTTAAAAGCCGCTTTTGGCTTTTTAAACCCCAAAAGCTGATATTTAGAGTGTTTGGCTTGTTTTGGAGAAAGAGCTTTGACCTTTGAGGGAAGCTGGAGGGCTGTGGGTTTCCCAAAACGCTCTTCCTAGAAAACATGGGTAGCCAATTTTCCTTTAATGAAACTTTCTTAATTTCTTCCATACCTTTGATATATGTGAATGTAAAAATGAAATTTCAAGTGTATCCCATTTATGTTCCGTAAACTCTACGAACTAACCCAACACTTCTTTCTTCTCTATTCAAATGCGACTACCGTATATTGATTATGTTAAAACTATAGTTTTTGTTGTGGGTTTCTCATCTCTAATTGTTGGTCATTTGTTTCTTAGTTTGCCAGCTTGTAAAGCACTCTAAAATTAGCGTTAGGGTTTGTTTTTCAAGTCTAGAAAAACCTATTGTTAGCGTTAGGGTTTGTGATTCAAGTTTAGCTAAATTTTAGTAGAAATTTGGTTTGATTTTTTTATTTTGTTCCATTTGAAAGTCTAGCTGTCTGTAGATGATATTTTATAATACTGTTGTTGGAAATGAATATTTTTTTGGTTATATCGGGGTGAGTTTTCTGGTATTCCTATATAAACGTGATATATATATATATATATATATATATATATATATATATATCCCCTGTTTTTTTTTTTTTTTTTGTCCTCTCTTTGTAATTGTTGCCAAGGGAAACAAAGACCTTTTCAATTAGGAGACTCTCTTTGTAACTGTTGTCAAGGGAAACAAAAGTGTTTTCAATTAGCATTACATAAAGTGTGTATATATTTGTATATGCATAAATGGATGGGCATCTCCATAGCATTTTGTTCTTCAATGTTCATAAGTACCGAGTGTTTGGTTATTCTGCTCTCTTGGCTGATAAAAAATTACAAAGTAGACAGTGATATATGTTGGTAAACAGAAATTTATTTTCTTTTTCCCTTCTTTTGTCGGTCTTTCGTGAACTGGATGACAGGTACAGATTGTTATAGAGCTTATTAGTGGACTAAATATTTATGCTATCCTTTGTTCCATTTTTTTTTTCATTTTTCATTCACCAACAATTTTGAGATGATACCCATTATAGATATAGCATTTATCATATGGGGTTGTTTTCATGTTTTTTTTTTTTTTTTTTTTTCAGATTTAGTTGTACCTACTTTAGATAGGGGCGTTCTCTAAGTGCTGATGTAATAATTAGAAACTTTACTTGTTGGCCGACGTTTCATTACTGTAATAGTTAGAAACTAAACTAGGCATTAAAATGATGGGTAACTATTTGATGTATTCTGTGAGTACGAGTAAGCACGAAAGTAGTTTCAGCGGATGGTGTAATATGCTGTTACTATTTGCTATGTTGATACTCTTACTTCAGGTTCTATTCTAAAATGCTATTTTGTATGTTTTTGGCAGAATTTTGGCATGTTATTGTTGGTAGTAGGGTTGTTTGTGGTGTTTGTATTTCTGACATTTTTTTTGGTTTCTTTGTGCTCGGTGGATTTAATTGTGGGATTTGTGAAATTCGGATCTTGTGCCTTGGTTTTGTGCTGCATTTAGATTGGTGGTGCAACATATTATGACGTAAAATTATTGCATAAGCGGTGTTTGTTAGGTGCTTTTAGGCACGGAATGATGTGAGTTCATATGATTAGTACGTTTTGTTCTTGGTGGAATGCCCCAAGTATAATTTTAATGTTAAGGTTGCCGATTGTGTTCCTGGGGGAATGCCCCAAGAGACGAATTACATTTTATTTTTTGGTTCCAAACAGAGTGACCAATATATAACAAGCATTGAATAATGACCTTTACAAAATCAAGAAAATTGTCCAAGGCAAGATTATAATTATTTTTTGGTTCCAAACAGAGTGACCAATATATAACAAGCATTGAATAATGACCTTTACAAAATCAAGAAAATTGTCCAAAGCAAGATTATAATAGGCCATAGAAAATATCATTACATATGGAGTTAAATGAAAATGCATCCAACCTATAGGAAACTTATGAATATAGCACACTAACTACTATTTTTAACACACAATCAATTGAAATTATGTTCCCAACTATGACCTCCCAAAGGCAGAGGCCTGTGGTAGCGTCCACCAGAATCTGGGCCGTAGCCTGCAACCCATTTAGCCCGAATACACATTCCACTGCCTTTTGGGCTTGGGCTTCCCGGAGCCTGATAAGTTACAGAACCTGCACCCGAACTTGACGAGTGACAGCCCGACCCTATACCCGTTCCTTTCCTTGTCCATGGGTTCCATTGGGCCATCGACGAGGCAGGTTGCATGTGTGAGCTTTGACTTCTCACTCGGCCTCTGCCGATTTAGTTGGAGCCATGTAGCTCGGAACACTGTCCAAGCCCACATATCGTTGTCAGGCCGGATGTGGACCTGGCTCGGCCGGATCAAAAATAAGTCGGCCCATATTGACATTCTGTTGGCCCAGTGCTATTACTGTCTTCTCACACATGCTATCAGTGGTAGTTGGTGAGACAAATGAGCCATCCGCTGGCTCTAAGTGACCGTTATGGTATGGTTGTGAAGCCATCCAATGCTCAAGCCAGTTCCAACCCAACTGTGGCTTTTCAGGATATTTTTTTTTGAAAGATAACTAACCTACCTGGTAAGTGAATGCATAGGCAAGAGCTCTCTCTCTTTTCATCAAAGCATCCTGTTTTCTCTGAGTATTTCCTTGATTTTGTCCATGCTCTGATGCCTGCCATCCCAAACTTCCTTTTGCCTCTGCTCTTCTTTCTCTGCTCCTCTTCTTTCTTCTTCCCCAATTCTCTTCTAAAGCTTCTCGTGGGATAATTGAAGCCTTCGTGCTCTCACTCTCGCCTGTACTCGTACCAATGCCTGCATGCACCGCATTGTCATCTGCGCTTGCTTGCGTACATTATGGCCTCTCACTAGAGCTTCCAGCCTTACCAATCCCTTCAGAGCACGTAAAGCTTGTCGAGCGTGCAAACTATTAGTACATAAATACCCAATCAAGGGGCTAAAATTAGGAGGATTATTAGCATTCTTTGTCCAAATAATGCTATCGGGACATAAGAGTGCCCACAATGGCAGAATACACACATGCAACAAATTCATTCCCACATGTGAATGGCTTTTTGCGCGCTAACTTGAATGTGGGATCCAAATGGTCTCGGGGGCAATGAATGTGGAACGTACACACAAAACAAAGCGTCTTATATATGATTGTGACACACACTTGTTCTGCATAATGGCGAATTCCATCATACCCTGATGTTGGACTATAGTGTAGTACCGTAAATTCGATGTTTTGACATGTACAAAACACATAATTTTATCAAATACTCCATCTTAATGTGTGGCCAGACAGCCTCTGTAATATGACTGTATCATAATAGCCGCCCTTTCTTCCTTGGAGTGGCGTCCTTAGCCGGCCAATCTAACAACCTTCGGTGCTGCTTGAGCCGCTGCAACAGCAGCTTCTGCAGTTGCTGCTGCCACAGCACTATCACGATTTCTGTCATCAGTCACCGGGGACGACACATCGCTCTCATCATTCGTGACATCTGGAGAACTTTCTGCGGGAAAATGTTCTAACGACACAACCTCCGGCACATCATGCTGCCATTTCTCTACATTGTCTTTCTGAACAAAAAACATGATGTTGCTTAGTGTTAGCACATTCAATATGGCCCATATTAATACAAAATTAGGGTTAGATTTCATTATTTCCGCCATTCAATCATAGCACAAGAGAGTTCTTGGGGTTGATTGGGATCGAACATATCAAAACCTCCGCTGAAGGACTGACTGGCGCAGCTATACCACTGGACTAGTACTGCCATTATTTCAATATCACCACAGCTAGTCCCACTATTTCTACTAGCACCTTTGCTTTTGCCATGACCACTAAATACTCGTAGTATGTTTACTAATTTTGAAGAAAAGTACACCTTTTCGCGTATCACCATATCAAGCCTACTTGATAATCAATTTGCCTCCTCATTCCCTCCGCAATCCCTTGCAAAAAAAAAAGGTACTAAAAGCTGATCTGAAAACTATTAATGAACAAATATGGAATTCAAGCACCACAGACATAAAGTTAGAAAAAAGAAACATATCTATACAATCATCCCTTTGTTGTTTTCTTCATCTTCATCGTCGTCTTTGTCTCTATCCCATACGAGTTTGTCATTTTCATATGAATAATTAATTCCAAAGAATTTCAAAAAATCAACATAGAACAATGAGCCCGCACCTCAGCTACAAGTGCATCTTAATTTTGTCACTGGTGAGCGCAATTCCTCGTCAACCTTTATGAATCTTTTCAGAACCTAAAGAAAAGGCTACAAAGGTTAGAGGATAAAATTAGAAGTAATATATAAGAGACTTTGACAAAGTCTCCAGAGTAAAATTCAGGCCTTAATGCATCACTCTTCAAGAACAACAGTAATTATCAAATAATAAAAATAAAAAATTCACTCGGTTTTCATGATTCCAACATTTTCAATTCATGTTCCCAAGATAACTTTTAAATTTGAACAGTTGCTAGACACTAAGACCTACTTTTATTTGAACTGTGAATTATACATTATAAAAGATCATTTTTAGTGCAAACATGAAAACAAGAAACCTGCTTCACTCCTATACGAACCGAACAAGATGGAGAAACAAAAATGAATAACAATCAAGATCACACTAATATAGGATAATCAAAGGAACTATGTCTAAGTGCTTTAAAGATGGGATACAAAGTAGCTTAGCACTTTCAAGACAGTATGCAGCTGCTTAATATTCTTTCATCTTATGTGACTGTGTCTTTGGAGCTACTTTAACCTCTTCAACTTCCTTAGGTTGGTAAATTTGATCATACAAATGACAAGCATAGATTCATCGACTGCCATTAAATTACAGAAGAGGAAACAACAATCAATCAATCAAGCCCTTTTCCCAACTACTTGGGATTGGCAAAATTACAAAAGAGGAAAAAAAATAAAAAAAATAAAAATCCCAGTAAATAATGATCTCATAGGGTAAGCAATATTCGCATAGAAGTATAGAAAAGAATAAAACCGCTGATGGTAGAAGTGGAACAACAATATCTAAATCAGTATGCATGGAGGAAGGGAAGGGGGAGAGCAAAGACAGCTAACATTGTATGAAAATTTGTCAGATGAAACCCTTTTATCTTGTAGATCATGAGAGAAAATACAAAGTTCTAAACAGCAGATCATTACCTATTTGCTTCATAGATGCATGAAAATTCTAATCCAAACACAAACTCATTTTAGATTGCACATGCTTGAGAGAAAATACAAAGTCATTAATATACATAGGATCTCATTATTCTAACCAGCAGATCATTACGTATTTGCTTCATAGATGCATGAAAATTCTAATCCAAACACAAACTCATTTTAGATTGCACATGCTTGTGAGAACTTGTAGAACATGAGATGCACTTTTGCCACTTTGCCATCTAAATGAAAATGTACTAGTTGTACAAATATTGCCATTTCCTAGAGACCACCCATCAGCAAAAGATGGTAAACCAACATAATGCACGCCAAGCATACGACACAAACAGTCCCCAAGATAAAATTATACTTAAAACACATACTCATTCAAAATTCACCTGTACATTAGAAGGGCCGTTCTTATAAAAACTATTGATAAACTAGAAGGTGCAATAGAGGAAGAACCTTGCGCTGCTCCCTGATGAGATGAGCAACTTGTCGATATTTGGGACGGCAAGCAACTTAGGCATGAGGTGATTCAGGAAATAGGTAGGAGCAACCTTCACTGTCTCGCTGGCTTTCCCAAGCTTGTCTATGGTCCGGATATATCATAGAATCATAAAACGAAGCACAGACCGCATAAGATCAGCAGAAGTGGGAAAGGGGGGCTATTTTTCTGAAGAAACAATACAATCCGGCACAATATGAAGCGGGGTGGGCATCAGATTAGCAGCAGTATAATTGTCAGGATAGCCCAGCCCTCCATGAACTGGCAGGGTTATTTGAGGGAGGGAAAGCGATAGTAAAATCTCATAATTTACAGTCAATTCATTCAATATTTCCTTTTTTAGATGTTCCGGGAGAGGTAAGGTGGAGTTTGTCTGGGACAGTTCGGTTCCTAGAATATTCCTCAACTGATGTAGCTAGAAACCAACAACAATAACAATAAATCTGAAACTGAAAAGGCTCCAAATTAAACCAAACAACAGTGCAAAACTTGAATTAAATAAACACACTGTTGTGAGAAAACTTCCAGCATAGAATAATGGGTGATGTGATACACAATCAGTGCCCTGGAATGAATTGGGTCTTTGATGGCCCTAATCTGGCAAATGACACTTCTACCATTTGGATATAAGCCATTCTTTATGTGCTTCGAGTCTCACAAACTTGGCTTAGTAACAACGACAACAAAAAAAAAAAAAAAAAAAAATCAACTAGCAATCAGATTAAGAAATGATGAAATTTTTCATAGTCTAATCAGCAAGTATTGGATCCAAATTCCAATTGAAAACCGCCATGTTTCTATATAAATGGCAATCAATGCTGTAACATCCAAAACTATTTTCTGAAAAACATAAGTGGAACTGTTATGAATGAGAAGCTACCATCTAAATAGTCAGACAATATATTATCCACCATGAGTTTACAACAAATTCATCCAAGCATTCAAATTCATCGGAGGGAGTTCAAATTCATGTGAGAGAGTGTGTGCACTTTGAACAATTGTTTACGATTTCCTTCTATTATGATTGGATCACACTTTATTTCACCACTAGGGCTTGAAGTAGGACCTATGCAAGGGCGTCCACATTTGAACTGAGCTAGGGTTTTTCTCCAACGGACAAGAATCAAGTAAGTCCCTCGTTTGGTTGGAAGGATTGAAAAATGGGTGAAAAGGAAAGGGCGAGGGATGAATGAAGAAGAATCATAGAGAAGAAAAACTTTGTTCCCGCTCTTTTTTTGGTTGTTTGTGCACATATTTTGGTTGGAATGAAAAGAACAAGAGCTCTATATTTGTTTACCAATATACTAGTAGAACCTCTTATCATAGGAGTATATATGAAATAATTTAACAAGTGATTTTATAAATTATTAAAAGTTAAAATTGATTTTTTATTTTTTTTAAAAAAAAAAAATTGATGTTACATCTTTGAAAGTAATTTTTTTTCTTTTCTTTTTCTTCTCTCTTCTATTTAATTTTGACAAACAAAATTCATTTTAAAGCAATAAGTAAGAAGGGATGCTTTCACTCCTTGTTGGTGAGTTGGTTGCTTCTTCCCTCTCTTTCTTACTTCCAACCACACAATTATTCCTCATATCTTCTACAAAAATAAAAAGGACAATTCCAAGGTCAAAAACTAAAAATAAAGCAGGGCAATTTTGTAATTTCCCTTTAAAGTACAGTTCTACTTCTTGCCCTTTTTCATGTTTTCTATTTTTGTTTTCTCCACTTATCTCCCCCTTTAATTTGAAAAAAAAATACATGAAGGAGAGCATTAAGTAAATATGCAAAATTACCATATTTAATTTACCCCACTAAAAAATTAGCTTTAAATTCAAAATTAGTATACATATAAATATATACACACACACACATTAAACCCCTCACATTGCATGCAAAACAATTCTCAAAATTAGTACACATATAAATATACACACACATTAGACCCCTCACTTTGCAAAACAATTTCTCTCTTCATTTTAAGTTTGTTATTATTATTATTTTTCTTGTTATTGTTGATAATAAAGAATCAACCCTTCTGGGTTACTTTGAATTATTGAATGCTTTGTAAACTTTGAACATGTGCAATTCTTCCTAAACTACACATGGTATGTAAGTCTAGGTATTTCTATGTCTTGTGAGAATTAAATTCAGACGTCTAAGTTTTCGATTGGGACCTCTTATTTAGGAATAACTTTGTGATTTAAAATATGATAAGTTAAAGAATAACTCACTCCAAGTTTTTAAATACAACAAAACCATTTTTCTCAACTTACCCCAATAGAAAGAAAAAAAATGTTATAAAAAATAAAATAAATAAAAAATAAAAGTGATCAATTTTCTACATTGGCACCTTTTAGAAACCTTTTCTCCATTATACTAAAGTATTCTCAAAATTCATATATATATATATTAAAGAGAAAATCTAAAAATAAGTGATGAATCAATTTTCTACATTGGCACTTCTACTAAAAATAAAATAAAAATTCTCATATTATGTTTAGTAATTTCACATTTGCAAAATACTCTCACAAACACCTTTTAGAACACTAGAATCCTCATCCACATTGGGAGGTGGGGTCTTTAAAAATCTTTAATTGTACATATTTTTAATATACATTATGAAATTAAAATTGCTCCAATTTTTTATTTATTTATTTTTTACTTTTACACTGTAGGTATTTATTGGCAAAGTAGAATTCTTAAGCAAAATTAAAAATCAAAACGTTTTACAAGTACAGCTACAAAAATATAATATTTTATATTTGGTTCTAATTTATAATTATAATTAGAGGGAAAAAAAAAAAAGGTTTTAAATGTTTGGTACCTTCGTTTTTTTTTGGATATAAATCGTGCTCACGAAGCCATTCTTAGAGTTTTAGTAAGACAAAAATTGGGAGATGAACGATACAGTCACTTTTACTGGAATCATAACCTGCATTCCTCTCTCTCTCAACCCTCGCATCAATTTTCTCATACTCCCTCTCCAAAGCAATGGATCGTCAACTGCTCGAAATTGCTACTCTGTTCGAAGGCAAATCCAAACCCTCGCTCCCGAGGATCGCTCGATTAGCACTGATCGGTACCGCTGTGGTGTTTCATGTGTTCATCGCCCTCTTTTCCGCCATTGCACCTAACCCTAACAAGACAGCGATCTACTACGCGCCTAGGGTTCTTCTGATGTTATTCGGTGGATCGGGAGCAACTATTGCGTGTGTCATCACCTACATAAATCTTCTTAAGCGCCGACTCAATAGATTCGTTTGGATGCTCCTCGCAGGTCTGGCGATAATGGGTTATCAATTTCTTCTTTTCATCTACCAAACATCGCTGATCTTCCATATCCTTCTCTGTTCCTTCACCACTCTCTTCATTGTCTATCATGTCCTTTTCATTCATGGGCGTTTTAAGTCTGATCTGATGATAATAATACTTGCGCTTTTCGGAAGCAGCATGGTCGATACTTTTTTTGAGAAAAATGATGGGCATGTAGTGAAGTCCGCGGCTTATGTCTTCGTTGTTGTTGCTGCAATACTTTCTCAGGTAAGTAATAGTATATTACTGTATACAAGGACAAACTTGGTCTATTAATTCATTAATTAATTGTGTTTTTTTTTCCCTGGTAGATGCTTATGGATAACCTCGCAGCTGCTGAGAAGGCAGATGCGAAGAAGGCAACTGATGAGGAGGCAACTGGGAGCTTGCAGAAGATTGTTGACAAAGACGACGGCAAGGTTTGACGGCATCCTACTTGGTAATTTCTTTACTATACTACAATTTTTATGCTTCCTAACCATGGTGGGTTTGATTAAGAATGGTATAATGTGTGCTTGAGATGGGAAGGGATCATAAAGGTGCATTGCTGGTTCGAACAAATTCGTTTTAGTGGTTTCATTTCCTTCTATTTTTTTTATATATTAATTGCTTAGCTCCTATTTCTGCCATTGTTGGTTGTGTGTTCTATAACATATATAATCAATGGAAGTTCTAATGAAGTTATAATTTTTGGTTAAAAGCAATTGTAAGTTTCATTCACACTAGTTCTCAACGCAATTGCAGAAGATAAACATGAATTGCAGAGTAGGGTGATCCAGCATTCAGATCAAGTTTATTAGAATTCCTTGCACATAAAAATCAAAATCAAAATAAGAATTGACAAACAAAAACAAAGGCAGACGAAAAACAGCATTTTGCCCTGAGTCGGGCTTTGAATTCCGAAGACACATTCCAGATTGTATGTCAATATTCTCTGATTGTTCAATATATATATATATATAGAGAGAGAGAGAGAACACTTGTGCACGCAAATCTTCCTCTCAGTTTGGAAACTCCGAACCTCATTGTAATTGAAGACAGTCAAAGAATATTAGAAAATCAAAAAATTTGACATTTCCGGATATATTATATATGTGTGTATGCTATATAGGCACCATGCAGTTGACCTCAAATAAAACCATGTGGATTTTTGCCGATCATCTGTTTGTTGAATCTTCTCGGTCGATGTTTTTAAAATATAGACATCACAAACAGGGTCTGTTGCTTGATTTTATTTGACAGTTTGGTAGATATTAAGTGTTTTTTTTTTTTTTTTTTTTTTTTTCAGTTCATATTTTCTTGGTTTTTGTGGGGATTTCATTTGAATATGTATGTTCTGTAATTTAGGTCCAGCAATTAATGGTGGGAGCATGCTGCACCTTATTGTAGAAATATTAGAACTTTCATAAAACTCATTAGTTCTACCCCGACTTTAAAACAAATAATGACTGTTATATGTTTTCAAATGTTCTCCTTCAGCCAGTGCTCCAGAGTATCAATGAGGATTTGAGTACTAAGGCCCTGTTTGGATTGGCTTTTAAAAGCCGCTTTTGGCTTTTTAAACCCCAAAAGCTGATATTTGGAGTGTTTGGCTTGTTTTGGAGAAAGAGCTTTGGCCTTCTAGACTTATAAAAAAAAAAAATTAATAAAAAAAAAGAGCTTTGGCCTTCTAGAAGAGCGTTTGAGGGAAGCTGGAGGGCTGTGGCTTTCCCAAAACGCTCTTCCTAGAAAACACAGGTAGCCAATTTTCCTTTAATGAAACTTTCTTAATTCCTTCCGTACCCTTGATATATGTGAATGTAAAAATGAAATTCCAAGTGTATCCCATTTATGTTCCGTAAACTCTACGAACTAACCCAGAGCTTCTTTCTTCTCTGTTCAGATGCGACTACCATATATTGATTATGTTAAAAACTATAGTTTTTGTTGTTGGTTTCTCATGTCTAATTGTTGGTCATTTGTTTCTTAGTTTGTGAGCTTGTAATTAGCGTTAGGGTTTGTGTTTCAAGTCTAGAAAAACCTATTGTCACAAACAAAATCTGTCAATATTGTCACAAACAAAATCTGTCAATTTTTTTTTTTGTTTACTATTCCATCCTTATACAGCAGCAAGAGTCGTTCAGATCTTATCCTTTGTCGATAATCTCTTTCATGTAATGCCACACTCAATTGTCAGCGACAGGGGACCGGGTATTCATTAGCAATTTATGACAGTAGGCTCTTCAGGTAATTCCATTGTGGGCTTGCCCGTCCAGGCTAACAAAGTATATCAGTGGGTTCGGCCTTGAAAGAGAAAGGCGAGATGGGATAGGAATTCCCCGAGTTGGTACGGTTCACCGAAGATTGTTTAGCAGGGTTTGTTCACGTGGGCGTTTTCGTGCTTTCAAACATCTGGCAGCTCCTTCGTGGACCTCCTCAGACATTAGCTGAAGTGTATAAGACCATTCGGTAGGATATCTCATCCATACCCTTGTAGTTCATATCTCCCTCTTCATCAAAGTGAGGTCTGTTGACTTTTTGTTGGGGAATAAATTATTGCAAAGGTTGATGGGCTCAACAGTCTCAGTAGACCTGGTATCAATAGATAGGGCAAGTTTCGGGACACTGAAAATAGGGCAGCTCTCGGCTTTGGGTAATGCCTTTTTTAGTCGAAAAGGCTTATCTTGATCTGGCAAAGTGCATAGGGGCGGAGACATTGAAGGGCATACTCTAAGTTTTGGAATGGAATTCCGAACGGTTAGAATCTTTTTAAGGAATTTTAAGACTGTGGTGGTTAAGTGAGCCTCTATCGGCTGTCTGAGCGAACTCTTTAGTAGTGGGGCAAGACTAGACGAGTGATTGAGATACAAAATATGTATGTCCCTGAAAGCATGGTTTTTCGGGTCTCTCTAATCAGTTTCAAAAAGAAAGGCTGGAAGGTGCACATTTCTTACATGAACACTTGTGGTTTGTTGCAGAGGGGGTCGAACAAGGAGTTATGTTTTCAAACTTCCTGCTATCACATAGGGTAATAGCTTCCGCTTCGAAGTGAAATCTCCTACCGAGGGAAGTAATGAAAAGTAAAGGCATTGAAAGACTTACATGTTTTCAAATGTTCTCCTTCAACCAGTGCTCCAGAGTATCAATGAGGATTTGAGTACTAATGCCCTGTTTGGATTGGCTTTTAAAAGCCGCTTTTGGCTTTTTAAACTCCCAAAGCTGATATTTAGAGTGTTTGGCTTGTTTTGGAGAAAGAGCTTTGGCCTTCTAGAAGAGCATTTGAGGGAAGCTGGAGGGCTGTGGCTTTCCCAAAACGCTCTTCCCAGAAAACATGGGTAGCCAATTTTCCTTTAATGAAACTTTCTTAATTCCTTCCGTACCCTTGATATATGTGAACGTAAAAATGAAATTCCAAGTGTATCCCATTTATGTTCCGTAAACTCTACGAACTAACCCAACGCTTCTTTCTTCTCTGTTCATATGCGACTACCATATATTGATTATGCTAAAACTATAGTTTTTGTTGTGGGTTTGTCATCTCTAATTGTTGGTCATCTGTTTCTTAGTTTGCCAGCTTGTAAAGCACTCTAAAATTAGCATTAGGGTTTGTGTTTCAGTCTAGAAAAACCTATTGTTAGCATTAGGGTTTGTGTTTCTAGTCTAGCTAAATTTTAGTAGAAATTTGGTTTGATTTTTCAATTTTGTTCCATTTGAAAGTCTAGCTGTTTCTAGATGATTTTTATAATCCTATTGTCGGATATGAATATTTTTTCTGTTATATCGGGATGAATTTTCAGGTATTCCTATATAAACGTGATATATATATATAATTATATTTATATACACCCCTTTTTTTCCCCCTCTTTTGTAATTGTTGCTAAGGTTAACAAAGACCTTTTCAATCAGGAGACTCTCTCTTTGTAATTGTTGTCAAGGGAAACAAAAATGCTTTCAATTAGCAGTACATGTAGTGTGTATATATTTGTATATGCATATATGGATGGGCATATCCATAGCATTTTGTTCTTCAATCTTCATAAGTACCGAGTGTTTGGTTATTCTGCTTTCTTGGTTGATAAAAAATTACACAGGACACAGTGATGCATGTTGGTAAACAGAAATTTATTTTCTTTTTCCCTTGTTTTGTCGGTCTTTCGTGAATTGGATGACAGGTACAGATTGTTATAGAGCTTATTAGTGGACTAAATATTTATGCTATCCTTTGTTCCATTTTTTTTCATTTTTCATTCACCAACAATTTTGAGATGATACCCATTATAGATATAGCATTTATCATATTTTTAATTTCTTGTTTTCTTTTTTTTTTTTTTTCCAGATTTAGTTGTACCTACTTTAGATAAGGGTTCTTGTTATTGTTGGATGACAAATTTTCTTTATGATACCTATTTCAAATGAAGCATTGATCATTCATGGGTTTTAGATTTCCAGTTTGTTTGTTTAGTGAACTACCAATTACCTGATTGCGTTGTTTTTGTCCTTCACACTTGTTAGTATTATTTCTGCCTTCTTATTAATCCTGTAAATAATGTGAAGTTCCATGAATTAAAATGGGGAGGTTGCATCTTCTCAATTTTTTAATATGAATTTGAACGTGGGGAATTTAGTGCAGATGGATTGCAAGTTTTTGGCCATCAACAATTGAAATTTGATAGTATCCTCCAGTCCAGACTACCTTCTACTTGCCTATGCCCTCATTTCCTAGCTTAAACTTTCATTTATGGAGACTTGAAAACCTGAAAAAAATATTTCAATTCTTAAGCAAACCTACCATGCGCTGGATGACACACTGAACTGCCATCCTACAATTTTTTGAAATATACAAAAGATTACCTTCTTAATAGAGCTTACAAATCTGGAATTGTCACCAAAATAAAAAAATAAAAATAAAAGGAAAGAAGAAGTATGTAATGTAGGGTGGGGGTGAATGGGGTTTCTTGATGAAGTTCTGTAATTTAAACTACTATCGAAGGGAGGACCTCTTAGAACTCTTTACCATCAGAGCTGAGGGATCAATGTCCATAATCTATTATTTGAATTTGTCAATTCTGGAACTAAGAAGTGTATTAATGCAGTTTGCATCTACCTCAATAGTTTATTCAGGCCAATAATTACTCCATCAGGTTCAGATTAGCATCGGTTCATCTCAGGGAAAATGCTCTTGCTAGTTTGTAAGCAGATCGTTGGAATTTTAGTACGGCTCCTTCCTTGTAATTTTATAGGATTGGAAGTAAATGGGGTTTGGACTCTAGTGTAGCTATTATTCTGGTTATGTGTGTGTGCGCGTGCATGATATTCTTTCAATGATTATATGTGCAAACTGATATTCTTTCAATTATTATTTGCTGCTGTTACTGATTTCATGGTATCTTGAATCCTTGCAGAGCATTCTACTGGTTGGACTAAGAGCTGGTGTTTCGTCACTGTAATAATTAGAAACTTTACTTTTAGGCCGATGTTTCATTACTGTAATAGTTAGAAACTAAACTTGGCATTCTACTGGGCAACTGGAGTTGTTTCTTGCATAGCTAACTGTTTGACGTATTCTGTGAGTACGAGTAAGCACAAAAGTAGTTTCGGCGAATGGTCTAATATGCTGATACTATTTGCTATGTTGATACTCTTACTTCAGGTTCTATGCTAAAATGCTATTTTTGTATGTTTTTGGCAGAATTTTGGCATGTTATTGTTGGTAGTAGGGTGATTTGTGTTGTTTGATCGTCTTTCTAACCTTTTTTTTTTGTGGTTTCTGTTTTTGGTGGATTTAATTGTGGGATTGGGAAATTCGGATCTTGTGCCTTGGTTTTGTGCTGCATTTAGATCGGTAGTGCAACATACTATGACATAAAGTTATTGCATAAGCGATAGTTTTTTAAGTGCCGTAGGCACGGAATGATTTGAGTTCATATTCAAATTAGTATGTTTTGTTCCTGTGGAATGCCCCAAGTATAATTTTAAGGTTGCCAATTTTTCTCTTTTTTTTTTTTTTTTTTTTTTTTTTTTTGGGGGTTCCAAACAGAGTGACCGATGTATAACAAGCGTTGAATAATGACCTTTACAAAATCAAGAAAATTGTCCAAGGCAAGATTATAATAGGCCATAGAAAATATCATTACATATAGGGTTGTTTGCAATATCATTACATTGAATGGGTGGAACAATAGATGAAAAAGCATCCAACATATAAGAAACTTATGACAAAGCACAGTAACTACTACTTTTTAACACAATCAATTGAAATTGTGTTCCCAACTATGACCTCCCAAAGGCAGAGGCCTGTGGTAGCAGCCACCAGAATCTGGGCTATAGCCTGAATCTGGGCCGTAGCCTGCAACCCATTTAGCCCGAATACGCATTCCATTGCCTTTTGGGCTTGGGCTTCTCGGAGCCTGATAAGTTACGGTTCCTGCACCAGAACTCGACGAGTCACAGCCCGACCCAATACCCGTTCCTTTCCTTGTCGATGGGTTCCATTGGGCCATTGACGAGGCACGTTGCCTGTGTGAGCTTTGACTTCTCACCTTGGCCTTTGCAGATTTAGTTGGAGCCATGTAGCTCGGAACACTGTCCAAGCCCACATACCGTTGTCGGGCCGGGTGTGGACCTGGCTCGGCCGGATCAAAAATAAACCGGCCCATATTGACATTCTGTTGGCCCAGTGTTATTGCTAGATCCATCTCAACTGTCTTCTCAGACATGTTATCAGTGGTGGTTGGTGTGATAAATGAGCCATCCCCTGGCTCTAAGTGGCCATTATGGTATGGTTGTGAAGCCATCCAATGCTCAAGCCAGTTCCAACCCAACTGTGGCTTTTCAGGATTGTTGTTAGCATAGATTCCAATATCTTCACCATTTGGTTTCGAATGCAAAAGTTGATGTTGTTGCTGCTGTTGCAATTAGAAAAAATTTAGGGTTCGATAATGCAATGAAAAATGCTCTATATACGGAAGTCCAACTCGTGTTTGTTCATTAAGTAAACAAACCGAATTTCAAGACTTAGCATGTGCCTCACGAAACATCCAGTCTAAGGTTCGACTCCGGTTGACTCAGGTCGATTTATTTGTCGTCCTAAATTTAAGTAGAAAAGGTCCATTTTGTATGGTACTACTTGCAATTGGATCATAGTTTGGTTTGAATTTGTAAATAATAATAAAATTAAAATAACTAACCTACCTGGTAAGTGAATGCATAGGCAAGAGCTCTCTCTCTTTTCATCAAAGCATCATGTTTTCTCTGAGTATTTTCCTTGATTTTGTCCATGCTCTGATGCCTGCCATCCCAAACGTCCTTCTGCCTCTGCTCTTCATTCTCCATTCCTCTTCTCTCTTCTTCCCTAATTCTCCTCTGAAGCTTCTCGTGGGATAATTGAAGCCTGCGTGCTCGTACTCTCGACTGTACTCGTACCAATGCCTGCATGCACCGCATTGTCATCTGCGCTTGCTTGCGCACATTATGGCCCCTCACCAGTGCTTGCAGCCTTACCAATCCCTTCAGAGCACGTAAAGCTCGTCGAGCCTGCAAACCATTAGTACATAAATACCAATCAAGGGGCTAAAATTAGGAGGAGTATTAGCACTCTATGTCCAAATGATGCTATCGGGACATAGAGTGCCCACAATGACAGAGAATACAAATGCAACAAATTCATTCCCACATGCCAATTGCTTTTTGCGCGCTAACTTGAATGTGGGATCCAAACGGTCTCGGGGGCAATGAATGTGGAACGTACACACAAGGCAAAGCGTCTTATATATGATTGTGACACACACTTGTTCTGCAAAATGGTGAATTCCATCATACCCTAACGTTGGACTATAGTGTAGTACCATAATTCGATGTTTTGACATGTACAAAACACATAATTTTATCAAATACATCTTAATGTGTTACCAGATAGCCTCTGTAATATGACTGTATCATAGTAGCCGCCCTTTCTTCCGTGGAGTGGCGTCCATAGCCGGCCAATCTAACAACCTTCCTCGCTGCTTGAGCCGCTGCAACAGCAGCTTCTGCAGCTGCTGCAGTTGCCGCTGCCACGGCACTAGCATGATTTCTGTCATCAGTCACCGGAGACGACACATTGCTCTCGTCATTCGTGACATCTGGAGAACTTTCTGCAGGAAAATGTTCAAACGACACAACCTCCGGCACATCATGCTGCCATTTCTCTGCATTGTCTTTCTGAACAAAAACATGAAGTTGCTTAGTGTTAGCACATTCAATATGGCCCATATTAATACAAAATTAGGGTTAGATTTCATTATTTCCACAATTCAATCATAGCACAAGAGAGTTCTTGGGGTTGATTGGGATCGAACATAGCAATCACATGATGTGGGAAATGGATGATGTGAGAGCCTAAGTGGCATTGATAACAACAAGTCGAGCTCTGCAAGTTCAATCATGTTGATGGGGGGACCATATGCCCCAATTTGTTTCCCTGGTCCTATCTGCTGGAAGAGTTGTTGTTCTTTTAATGTCCACCAAGGAAATTACATCAATTACTCGTATAAAAATAAAAATAAAAACGCGGGTTATAGATATATTACTATCACAGATGTTCTAATGAATGCATTAAGCTGATCAAAAAGATGATACTACTATGAAATTATGAGGTTCTGATATAAAGCCTGTAATATCATCAAACAGTTTGGACTTTATGCAGGCACTACCTAGACTACATGTAGTGCCAAAGAGTTAAATTGGACAATACTCTTTATCATTATTTGTATCGAAGGACCATTGTCTGGTGCAAAACTAAATGCTTGGACTGTCAGGCATGAGAAAACAATTTCAGAATCTTAAGAGCGAGTTACTTTGTGCAAATAATCATCAATGGCCTTTTAACCAGATGGTATCTCTTTTCTTGAGAGTTCGGGTATGGTTAGGGGCGAGAAATCATTAAATGGTTCTGAATCATTGATACTTAGGGACCGGTTCAATCAACACTCTCCAATTAAGAAAAGTGGACGCCAAAAATTTAATAATATATTTTGATTGGACTCGAATAGCTAATAGTTTAGGACCATCTTAAGAGTAAGTTACTTTGTGCAAATAATACTATAGATTATCAATGGGCTCTTAACTACATGGTATGAAATCTCTTCTCCAAAGTAGAAGTTGAGAATCCGAGTATTGTTAGGGGCGAAAAATTATTAGATGGTTCTAAATCATTGACATTTGGCGAACCGGTTCAATCAAGACTCTCTAGTTAAGATAAGTGGACGCACAAGAATTTAATAATAAATTACAAAGAAATCTAAACTTAGTTTTGATTGGATTGAACCATGAATAGCTGAGAACCATCCAATAATTTCTCGTTGGGGGCAATAGTGTGAGGGCCTGCAAGTTTACTTGAATTTTGAAAAAAACAATAATAATAATAATAATAAACATTAAATTTGTACCCAATTTACCCTCCCAACACCCTCAATTAACTAATTAAGAGTGTGAATGATCCTCTTTGACATTCACTTTGCAGATCGATCCTCTATCATATGCAACGATCCTTGCAATTTATGTCTAAATTTTTTAAAAAAATTTGCCTCAAATTTTTTTTTTGGAACAGAATCTAAATATAGCCTGAAATAAGTTTTATATAGAGAGAGAATTTACACTTCATTTTTAAGTATGTGTGTGCGCGCGCGCGCGTGTGCGTGTTGCGTGTGTGTATATATATATATATAAACTGACCTTTTTTTCCTGAATGTAGTCCTTGGAGGAAGATTTGAACACTCTCTTCACTGTGGAAAACCATCCGCTTCCTTTCTTAACCATTTCCGGCCAAAAATTGGACCTTAATTTACCAAATCAAATTCACAAAATAGTTATATAATTATTTGAAATGCAAAATCACAATCTCTGAGCTTTAGAAAAAAAAATATTTGAAACAAATAATATATATATATATGAATCAAATTCAAACCTGAGGAAGATTTTAGCGTTGTATGATGATTTCTTTTTCCTTTACGTCCATTTCTAGAGAAGATCGATCATGGAAGCTCTAGAAAATGAAAGAAAAGTACACAGAGGGACTGACTAGAAAGAGAAGGATTTTTATTTATTTTTTTGGTTTTGTGAGGAGAGAGAATGTGAATGTAGAGAGAGAAAGAGACGGAGGCGTCGTGAGAATAGTTACAGCAGACCGCGCCATTTGCCGTTAGTTATTTATCACTCTCACGGGGCTTCTACTAGGTACAACAGACAGTTGGTCTAACCGAATTAGGACCTGACACGTGTAAAGTGCCCTTCCTCGCACGGCTTTGATCGACTATGACCCTTCTTATTTGGGGTAACTGTACTTGTGTAAGGGAGAAAGAGTTTTCGTTTTTGCCCCTAGCATAGCTACTGGACGGTAGGACGGATTTTTGGCAACTGCGCGAATCGTATTCCGTGTATTAAATTGGGGTTCGAATTTTTTTAATCTTAAATGGTAAGACAGATCTTCAGTGCCTACAACAATTCGTATTCAATGTATGGATTGTGGGTTCGAATCTCGGCTCAAGTTCGCGACTTAAATCCCACTCGTGTAATAGAATTGGTAAGATTATAAAGTCATCCAATGAGAAAAATTTTAAAGCAAGAGTTTTTTTTAAATTAATTAATTAATTTATTTTTATTCTTTAATGTTTTTGCTCCCATCTGTGTGAGACTGTGTTTCCTCTTCAGCTAATGCCATTTTGGGGGAGGGAATAGAATATTCATTTGTTTGGTAGAGGGGAGAGTTTTCATATGCTTGGAAAAAGGATGGAGTAAAGGAAAAACAAAGGGAGAGATGGGGTCTCTGTCCTAGCAAACCATTGTGCTCTAACAATTAATGGACTGTAGATTCATTTTCTTACCTTTATTTTATTTTATTTTATTTTATTTTTCTAGACATAAATATTATTTAACCATTCCTAGGAATGATATACAGATCTTGCAAAAAACAAAACTTTTCTGCTCAACCCAATAATACAATTTATATTAGGTTTTTAAGTACATCAATTTCTAACTATTTTACTTTTCCTTCTAATTTTTCATCATTTTTATCAAACACGATATAAGAGTGGTGATTTTCCGTAGTTATATTCGAATTTGGGTAAATACTTCATTCCACGAGACCCCTTAATTACAGTATTTGAGAATATTTTATTCCCTCAAACCATTTTGTAGGTGGAACCTCTCTAGACACAATTGATGGTGTAAGAGTAGGTAAAAAGTAAAACTAAATGGAGATTGAGTGTCTGAATATCCAACAAAAAGTTTGGGTAGATGACCTTTAATTTTCCTTCCATTTAAAGGGAAAATGAAACAAAAGGTGAGATATCAAGAAAAGAAGAAACCATGGGAAGAAAAAAGTGTTGGGGTTGATTGAGTTTGTTGATGAGCATCTTTCATCATATTTATTTTGTGTCCTTTATTTCTGATTTTTTTTTTCCCATTCACTCTAGAAGAAGACAAGCATGTGACACTTAAATATTCTCACCGACCTAGATCCTCTTCAATACAAAAAAATAAATGTATAATACTCCAGAATAATATTAAATCGAATATCTCACCATTTAATTGAAAATGCAACAATGTAAAGATGCAATACTACACTATAACATTAAATCAAGAATCTCACCATTAAATCAAAAATGCAACAATAATGTGACGATATTGCATTTTCGACTCAGTGACGTTACAATGTTATATCTTGATGTAGTATGTTATATAGCATTCTAGAGATTAATGTTCATTTGTATATTTGTACAGATGTTGCATGGATGCATGTGTAATTACGTACACGCGTTAGTGTTGAAGACTCTTAAATATAGTACAATAGTTGTGTTGTATTGCAAAGAATTTGAAGATGTTTCAAATTATGAAATTACCAAAGAATAATGTTTATTACCCATTATAAGGTGTGGTCACCATCTTGCTCATTTTAATGTTTAAACAAAGTTAGTAATAACATGTGCATCATAAGCAACATCTTTTAACATGACATGACATTACATTATAAATGTAAAGATGAAATATCAATGCAACAACATTTAATCTCAAGTACTTCTTGCAATCATGAGAAATAAGCAATCCTTTAAATCTTGTTAAAGTGTGGTATTATAGACCTAAACTGAAAAACACTCTTGTGATTTGTTTTGTTCTCCCTCAACTATCAATGGTCATGAGTGTCATGATTAAGCATCTCTTGGATACCAATATATATAACAGCATAAATGCATAATAAAGACCTACCATACCAACTGAAAAAGACTACACCAGGTCACTTGCGGGGTGTGCAATTAATATGATAAAATTATGTATGAATCACTAATAGTAGATATTAAAATTATGTATGAATCACTAATTAATATGATAAAATTATGTATGAATCACTAATAGTAGATATTCGGCGTGTTAGGTATATCAAATCATTAATATGTCCGGTCAATAAAAATAATATAGTAGTTAGTTGAGAACAATTTTTAAAAATAAGTAGGATCAATTTTAAAGAATGATGTATTTCTATTGATCAGTCATACTAATAACGTGGCATGCAGGGCTGCCAGACATACTAAATATCTTCTCCACTCATGGACAAGAACAACAACGCACTTGCCAAAAAGAGGCTTGCATGTTTCCCTCTCTAATATGTTTGGGCTTTGGGGAGAAAAACATGTAAGTGGGCTTGCTCATGGTTGAAACTTTGCAGCAACTTGCGTAGCCCAATTTTTGTTTGGAGCACAACAGGCCCAAGCTAACCTGGCCTGCTTTCAGATTAGGCTTCCAAAATTTTCAGAAGGCAATTCAGTTTATCTAATTATTAGTCAGTTTTACAAAATCCACAGTGGAAAAATAAATAAATCATATAAACTCATGCTGATGCATGTACACTATATTATTACTTCATTTTTTTCTTTTTTTCTTCTCTCGTGTCAAATAACTTACACCTATTTTTTTTAATCATTAGTGAGACTTGTATCACGACCTTTTATTATAAGAAGCAATGAATATGTCACTAGGATACAGACCCTTATGGGCTACTATATCATTAGCTACTTATCACATATGGTACAATGTGAGAATCAAAAGGGACCTTGGAAACAAACCATTCAATTCAATTTTAGAAAGGAAAATAATTTTCATATTCCCTGCTTCACTTGATTTTTTCAGAAAAAATCAAGAATAAAATTATTCAAATCATTCTCACGCTCTATATTTAATCTAATGTTATGTTTGATATGTAAGAATGGAATGAAATGCAATTGGGAATTGAATGAGAGTGGTTATTATCATTTATTGTTTGGTTGCAAATATGAAATGATTTAGTAATAGAATTAGAATAATCATTCGGGTGTATGGTTGAACCAATTTAAAACCTAGAATGAAATAAATTTTAAATTGAATTTTCTAAAATATCTCTCTTAGTAAACAATTAAATTAACAAAATAACATTCTTCTATAAAAAATTTTTTTAAGGAAATGGTGGTGGAGGTGTAAGGCGATAGTGGTGTAGGTGGTGGTGTTGAAGAAGTCAGTGGTGGTAGTGAAGGAAGGCAGTGACAGTGGCGGTGGCGGAAAGTGGTGGAAATCGTGGTGGAAGGCGGCAGTGGTGAAGGTAGCAACGGTGTGGTGGAAGGCAATGGAGGTGGCAGTGGTGGTGACGGTGATCATGTAGCAATGGTGGCAAGGAAGGTAGCAATGGTGGTGGAAGGCAGTGGAAAAGGTCATCGTGGTGGTGGCGGCGGCGATGACGATGTAGGTGGAAGGCCGCGATAGTGATGGCGATAACAGTGACAGTGATTGTGGCAATGACAGGGGTAGAAGGCATTAGAAATGGCAATGGTGGAAGGCAATGAATGTGACAGTGGTAATGACGGTAGCGACGGTGTGGTGGTGGTGGAAGGCGAATACAGTAGTGGTAGTGGTGCGAGCCAGTGAAGGTGGTGGTGGTGGTTTTTGGACTCTAAACATGAGAGTTTTATGGAAACTTGATTTTTACGTTTTATTTATTTATTTGACCATTTCACAGGTTTAGGCATTGCATGGTAACATTTTCAGTTTTGTTTTTCTATTGTAATTAATGAGACTTGAATCTCGTCCTCATATAATAAGTAGCACGATGCCAGCGAATATGTCACTAGGATACACGATCCTCATAGGGCTACTATATTATTAGCTATTGATCGCATATATGATGTGAAAATCAAAAGGGATCTTGGAATTAAACCATTGAAATCAAATTTAGAAAGGAAAATAATGTTCATATCCCACGCTTCACTTGATTTTTTTAGCAAAAATAAAGAATAAAATTATCCAAATCATTCTCACACTCTATAATTAATCTAATATTAGGTTTAGTATATGAAAAATGCAATGGAATGTAAGTATGAATAGAATGAGAATGGGTTACAAATATGAAATGATAATAACTATTTTAATGTATGGTTAGACCAATTTAAAACCTATAATGGAATGAACTTTAAATCAAATTCTCCAAAATATCTCTTTCAGTGACACAAAAATTAAATTAACAAAATAATAATCTTCTATAATTTTTTGGGTTAATTAGACACCTTTGGTCAAATATGAAACAACTTTCGAAAGTTACTATCACTGTGTAAACGTTTATTCCGTTTTTTACTCGCACCCCAATAGTGACATGCACATGTGTCACAGCTCATAAAATGACTTAAATACTCTTCAACTTTATCAAAAGAGCTCTTTAATCTAAAGAATTAAATAAAAAAAAACTAAAATACCCTAAATACTTTACAATTTTACAATTATATTATATATATATGATATGAATACAATATCTATATATATGAATATGTATATATATATACACACATATATCATGTAGCCTCTTCTCCCTCCCTTGCCACCAACAGTGCCGCCATCCACTAACAATTACCACTCTCTCTCTATAACTTATCTTCAACAACCACCCAGACTAACAGTGTATATATGTGTGTGTGTGTGTGTGTGTGTCTATATATATATATATAGAGAGAGAGAGACAGAGTGTGTGTGTGTGTGTGTGTGTGTGAATCAATCAATTGTTCAAAGTTAAAACCCGAGAGAGAGAGAGAGTGTGTGTGAATCAATCAATTGTTCAAAGTTAAAACCCACCATAGCGTCACCGCTCACCGGTGAACCCCTCTTCTTCAACGAACCAC